GCAAAATAGGTATACGTAATCCACAATCCTCGCCGCGAAAATTACTATTTCTTATAATAAATAATTATCTTTTTATGTATATTTTTACATAATATTGTATATTATTTTGTAGCCCATTAAATAAATTATAATATCAGTTGAGTATTTATGCAATTAGATTGTAAGAAAAATTAAGGGGGCGCAATAATTTTTTTCTTTTAAAGAGGGGCGCAGGTACAAAAACGTTGGAAACCACTGCTTTACAGTGTCACCTTATATATCAAGAGCATGTTACTCCAAACATTGAGATGCTGCAATTTTTAACTAGACCTCTACGGAAAACTATGTGAAACTAACGAAAAAGTAATATCCGAATTTTTTCTTATATAGACAAGAGAATCAATTTGGGGAGTCCCCTAAAAAGTTACGTTGTAGGATAAAGGGGTATTCCCCAAAAAATAAGTTACCTACATACAAACTAAATCGAATGATTTCCCGTCAATTCTCCACATCGCATTCTCCAGATAGCCATTTTCCGGCAGTAAAAAATTCCGGAAGAAAATTCTCCGACACGAATTTTAAAATAGCAGTAGGAACTGCTACCTACCTTAATGTGACCGATGAAAAAAAATTCGTAACTTCTAATTGTCGGAAAAATGACCAACCGGAAAAAGTGAGCCAGCCAAATGGACGGATACGATTAGAAGTAACTACTTCTCTCAAGATGTGTGGAAAATGCTTGTAAAACAAACAAAACGAAGTATTGCCAGTTCAGACATGTAAAATGGGTAAAAAATTTGGGAGAATTTCTTTGTATTCTCAACCCAAAAGTCGTGAAAAAACATTACATTTCGGGTGCTCAAAAGGGTTGGTTCTTTTTTTCCTATTTTTCTTCCTGCTTAGGTGCTTATTAGAAGACAGCACTTTAAAATATATTTATCTGTCCGAACTACAGACGCTAACTAAAATAATAATTTAAGAAAAATACTTTTTTATCGAGTTGCTGTTGTTGAGGTGTTGGACATTAATTTAATTTCTATAAGATTTTTCTCTCCGTGCAGCCTCCCCACATTTTTGCGGCTCTGAACATTTGCTCGGCTTGCCCCCCCCCCTTCGCTTGATCGGACCCTAATGATTACATAAAGCAAATAAAATACAATGTATCTCCCTGAAATTTCACTTTCAAACTGTATGCTAAGGAAAATTAAGCAGGCATTAATATTAATACAAATCGATCATTCAATCAATCGCTAAAGTCGGTTTTCACCTTTTTGCTTTAACAGCGGGCTGTACAAAAATAAATTTTGTATATACATTGCATTACAACTTATTTCACAAAATATAGATAGAACTTTTAAACGGTCAACAATCAATATAAATAAACTTTTAGCTCATATAATCTACAGTAAATTGTCCAAATAATTTGTTTTAATTCGATATAACAAGCAACAGGTAAATGAATTTACTTACAAAGTACGGTTAAAATGTTGCCATTGTTTTTAATTTTAACTATTATAAATTCGAAAAAATTGATAAATAGCAATTTTCATTTTTTTTCTCATACATATAAAATTGTGTATCACAGAAAATATTCAATGTGAGTTACGACTAATTTGAATTAAATATAATACACACTGACAGATACATATTTATCACTTATATCTTTTGTAAGTATGTGTTGTCATATATAAAATTTTATGAAACGACAGTTCCTTTAATATAGGTATGCATTTTGCCCAAATAAACACAATCTTGGAAAATACGACATCAAAACTAATGTAAAAATAAAATACACAAAAATATAACGCCATCATATGAAACAAAAGTATAGATTAAAATAACCGTGGATGTCACGAATAAAATGGACGGAATGTAAAATCGCTCACTATACAATACTAAAAAGTGTTTGTAAAACTGCTCAATAATGGTTTCAGTGAATACGGACAATTATTTTATATTAAAAGTGAAATACAAAGGTGTGAATATATTTGAATTGCGATACAATATTGAAGGAAAAAGAACTAGGGATGTGATGTACTCCGTAACTGTACCTGAAACTATCGAATATCCGAAATAAAAGTTTATCCGAAACAGTAAACGCATCTGATATCTATAGAAGATTCTAATAATTTATATAAACTAGAGATGTTATGGAGCTCCTTAACCGTAACCGAAACTATCGGATATCCGAAATAAAACTTATCCAAAACGGTAACCGAATCTGATAGAAAAAATTCCAATAATTTATATAAACTAGAGATGTTATGGAGCTCCTTAACCGTAACCGAAACTATCGGATATCCGAAATAAAAAATTTATCTGAAACAGCATACATTTGTAATACAGTGCGTTTCTTTTGAGGTATTACAATTGAACGAAAAAAACTAATTTACAAGAATCAAAAGAAATCAGCCGCAAAAGACATCGAGTGTGATTTATATAAATAATAAAGTGATGTTTAACAAAAACAGGTACCTACCTGCGCGACATGTAAAAGTGATTATAAAAATTAAAATATTACGTACGTAAAACGTTCAAAACAAATGTCTTTTGCTACTTTTTTGCTTAACAAAAACAATTTATAAGCAACAATTTTCAATATTTTTCTTCAAACTTAAACAAGTATTTGTTCAAGCAATATAAAACCTTAAACAAGTTTGATAACACATTTATAAACAACTCAGTGGAAGCCCAGAAATGGTTGAATTGTCTACACAATACGTACAATATTTACAGCCCGCTAGTAAAACACATTAATGTTTCATTTAACAAATGAAATAATTATTGCACAAATTTTTAGTGAGAAATATCTACATACATACAATTTAAAAAGAAAATATTCCATATTTCAAAATGAAGCTGCTGATAATGTGTTCAAGTCAAAAAATTTAACGCGTAAGAGTATGAAAGAGATAAGAAAAAATTATGTATGACCACCAATACGATTCGATGTGTCAGTTAGAAGATAGACAGAAATGAGTGGTGTATATCTACATGCGTATAAACTCCAGTAGGTTTTGATGAATTATTTTAGTCGAAAATGACTATTAGGATCCGATCTGGCCAATTTAACCGTTCTAGGTAAAAGTAATATTTGCTACCCTTAACAGCAGTGGTTTCCAACCTATGGGGCGCAAGGGGGGCATGCAGCTGTTTCCAAAATATCATTTTCGACGACGACGATTTTCCTACTTTGACAAAGAAAGCTTTAGAAATTTTATTGCCATTTGTAACATCTTATCTATGTGAAACTGGTNAAATTTATTCGAAACGGTAAAATGATATAAAAGATAATTTATGTAAATTAGGGATGTTATGGAGCTTGGTAACAGAAAACTGAAGCTATCGGATATCCGAAATAATAATCTATCCGAAAACGTAACCGTAATTGATATAAAAGATTCGAAATTTTGAATAGAGGTGGAGTCTAAATTATAAGGCTAATTGTTTTTTTGTCTGTGATAGTAGTACCAAATGATAGCCCAAAAATAATCAAATCATTACTTATTTTTATTTTTTAACAGTACCATAACAATCGAATATCTATAGCTAAAAGTATGCGAAATTATCGGATAATCCGAAATAATTTCATATCGGTAACCGTATTTGAAACCGGTATAATGTTATTCATACATCCGTATCCATATCCAGATCCAAAATTTCATGTCCATAACATTCCTGCAAAGAACAGTGAACCCCGCGCTAACCCCTCTCTATATTAGCACTCGCTAGTTTAATAGCGCTATCCTATCCACTATCACATATACTTGAGAAAAATTCACTTCCAAAAATAAAAGTGTGAAATCATAATAACAAACTACCAAATGATACAAACTGTATTTACCCACATTGAAAAAAATACGAAAAACGAGATGCCTCTTCTGCCAATTCATGTATTAGCTATAACTATTTGCTACTGGTTGAAGACTATCTTGGGACGAGATTGAAAATTAATAACAATTTCGTTTGTAGTCACGTGACTTTTAACTATTTTTTTTTAAGTTACTGCATTACTGGCCGTTTCTCAATATGTGTCATACTTTTCTTTATTTAGAGAATGAAAATTTTTCTCAAAAAAGCGAGCACCGAATTCTAGGTAAGTATTTTTATCACAAACCATCTTTCAAAAAAAAAATTATTTACATAAGAAGATAGACAGGATAAGTGGGTGATTTCAAATTCGAACAACTCAATGATTTGTACTCGTATGATACCAAATCGATAAAATCAATATTCTCTTTGATGTGTAATTGGCAATTAATTAAATGTTGAGATAATGGCAGTTACACATCAAAGAGAGTACTGTTTTGATCGACTTGATACCACATGTTGTGAGATGTGATAAGAAATCAGTGAGTTATTTGACCTTAAAGTCGTCAATATATTCAAACGATCACCCTCTGTATTTCGTATAAGTATTTACTACAGTTTAGACAATAAAAAATAATTTTAATTACCGAAAAACTAACTTCCTTTTTAAGAAAATCATCGAAAGGATACTTTATTATTACTCAACTAAACTTCCAATAAACTATAGCATAAAATATAAGACGTTAGAATGACAGTACTACTAATCTAGCTCTAGCACCACGTTGCTTATTCAAATTCGATTTTCTATAAACTTCCGTATATGTCTCTTAAGAATCGTTTCCGTCGAACTTCATAGTTGATTTTCTCTTTCATACGTTTACAATGATTTTCAGCATCACAAACATCTTCTTTCGATAATTCTTCTTGTTTATTTGTACAATGTTCGTCTTCTTGTTGGTCAGTTTCGGATACTTTTGTGTTAGACGACACGCAATTTTGCACAGTTTTTAGCCATTTGATGGCCATTTTCGTCAGGATATAGCCATTTTCGTTTTTATTATCAACTGCGGTCAATATTATGCGACCCTCGCATTCTTTTACTTGCTTATTGCGTGGTCGTTCAAAAGTGACAATCATTACACTAGAATTTTGAAGATTTAATGGTGGAATGAGATGTCCGGTGACCGGTCAAGATGGTCAGTGCATGTTAAAAATTTTGAACCGGGAGATGGAAAATGTACCTGTGAAATGCCAAAACGGTTTGCTGTCTCATTATTTTGACGTTTGAAAGGTCCACAACAGTTTCAAAGCTTACTCACATTCAATAATAAATAAGAAAGAATTGTGGTAATAGTTTTGTCAAATAAAGACTTCCTCAGATGGAAGAAGCATACAGAATTAAATTACAGACGCACTCGGCTATAGAAAACACTGATTACAACGAACGCATGATCTCGTACCCAGTTCTCTAACTTCCTAGGCTTTTTCTGAATATTCTTAAGTAACTCCAACTATTAAACGTCGAATATACGAAAACTCGATCGACTTTCTCACGACGTTCATCAATAAAATATACTCCAAAACTTTTTAATGTCAACAATTAATATAAAATTTTAATCTCGTTTAAAAAACCATATACACCAATTACATTTTCTATAAATACTAACCGTTCTTTTTCTTTTAGGTAATAAACACTAATCAGAGTTTCGGAAACACTCCGTAATGTGAAAATATGCTTCGAGATAATGTTCTAAATTGAATAAATAAAAATTGTAGCTAAATTATATGAGTAAAAGAAGATTAATTTTTTTATCAACCTTTTTGCTAGATTTATAAAATATAAGAAGATAAGAAGTTTGGCGCATAACGTCAAGTATTTGATTATGAAGTTGTCATTTTATAACTTCGTAAGTCACCACCACATTCGGAAATATTTATTAAAAGGTACTAACGAGATTAATTCAGGATCAAATGCTTAATAATGTCATTGCATAAACCGAAGAATAACAAAGGCAGTTCGCAATTGAGTTGACAATTTTTGAATTTATCATCACCGTAAGGCTTCGCACACACGTACATTGGAATCGGACGGACGGTACGCAGCGGGTACAGCGCCATTATCTCAATTTTATTTCACGTCAGCGTACATACGTACGTCGGAATCCTAGCGGAATTTAGCTTATTTTTAGTGTCAATCGTCTATAAAATAAGACAACCGATATTTAAAAGTAGTCGATTAGTAGATAAGGCACAAAAAGTTACAGATCTAGTTTGAAGAATAAATAAAATCTAAAAATTATTGTGCATTTTTTAATTCCCTGAAAATACCATATTTTTTAAAGATACATAAAAATCTAAGAAATGGTGGAATCCCTAATTATATGCGATCGAGAACGACTAAGGGAACAGATACAAAAATAGCAGGAATATAAGTATAGAACAGCCTTCCTGTTAAAGACGGTGTTGGATTACATACAGGTAATACGTGCGAAACCCATAGGAATAATTCCTATATATATATTTCGTATATTCATCGACATGGATGGCGGGCGGATTTTAATTATGATTTTCGGAGTTGCCGCGGATTTTAATTATGATTCTCGGAGTTGCCGCGGATTTTAATTGTGATTCTCGAAATTGCTGCGGATTTTAATTGTGATTCTCGGAGTTGCCGCGGATTTTATAGATGCCGATCGTTTTCGTACGAAAGACTGTACGTTACACCATATGATTGTATATATTTAATTTTTTTATCCGTGTCGTTCAGTCCGTCCGGTTCCGGTGTTTGTGCACCTACCTTTATTCTTTATGTGACGTATGATTCGGAGCGCCAGACAAGTCACGCTCTATGTGACAGAATCAGCATGAAATGGCGCATAGAGTATCATTTTGTAAATATTACAACTGTATTTCAAAAATTTATTTCTTTGAATTGTAAACTCTCACACCAAAAAAATTTACTATTACCGAATTACCTTATAATCACTTTGGTCGAAATGTTAAAAATATTTCAATTCTGCTTTTATATAGAAGTAATTGTCGTATTCACCGAAAACCAATAAAATATCAACAAATAAAATTTATATACTTAGATAGATTTTTCTTTATAAACAACAAGTTGATCAAACAACTAAATAGTTCGTTTCGACTCGATTTTGAATCTTTGTACTAGACTTCGGTGCTGTGAGTCTGTATTCTCACTTTTTTAACACTTCCATTTCGATTAAACGTCGGTGACGAGCCTGAGAAGCCCGGATTTTGAATACCGAGACCGTCTTTAGGTTTAGGTTTTTTCAAACTCGACCTTAACGGCGACCTTGTAACAGACGAACCTACCGTTGACCCGTTCGAACCAATTGACGAAATGCTGGTCATGGCCGTATTCATGGAAACAGTACTGCCATTGGTTGGATATGGCTTACCACTAGCGTCCGTCATTGATATCCCACCTGAAACTAAAGACAATCTAAAGGTAATAAAGCAACTGAAACTAACATTTGATCAAAAATAATCAGTAACGAATTAAATTTTGGGTATCCGCAATAATAGGTAATAGGGAATCGCACGGCGAGTAAAGAAGCATGATAAGGGACAAAGAAATTGTAAGAAAAAAGAACAAATGGAAATCTCAAGCCGGTCCTGGCCTGTATAAGATACATGACTGTTTTTTGAAGTGAAACTTCTTTACGCACGGTAGGGTAAGTTCGTTTCATGCGAGTTGCTATGTAACGAAATCATGCAACGCATTTCTGTCCCTATGTATGCTTAGATCTTTAAAACTATCCAACGGATTTTAATGCGGTATTTTTTTAATAGATAAAGGAATTCAAGACGAAGGTTTATATGTATAATACATGCATAATATAGTAGAGAAACACTGATAATTTTAGAGGTTTGTAATGTGATGTAAATAAATATATTTGTTGCGCTTACATTGCAAACGCTGGCTGAACCCTACGAGATAGATCAAAATAATATACTACAGTATTGTACACCTTAAAAAGGTCTACAAAAAAGTCCGGGATGGTATATGTCTATCTCTTAGGGATAACCCACAATAACCATTTTTTATCCTTTACTTTTTACGAGAAATAATGGCTTATTTACGAAGCGATTTTAAGCAATACAGCATTAATCCTTATCCAATTAAGTACTTTTAAATACATTGTGCATTTAATATAGATCAATATGGCCCTTTACAGCATGTAATTTAAATGAATATTTTCGAAGATATTACAGACTTAAAATGCAGGGACATAGCGGTTGCGGCGGTACCGGCCGGTTTGTATTGTCTAATGACAAAAAAGCTGTGATTGTTGTATATAAAGACATTCTATAGTATATTTACTATCAGCATTGCACCCATGCGAAGCATAGTGTACAAATAATACCATTAAACCAATTCCTTAACCCCTATCCCGGTATGTTTGTGTGTTTAAAGAAGTTTCACTTCAGTAGCGTGTTGTATAATGACACGTTTTTTTTTTTATTTCAATTCTTAATATCGATCAAGTTTTCATACTCCGACACAGTTAGCATTGATGGTTCAATTTGATTTGTGAATGGATTCTGTACTCAGTGACTGTCCTGTAACACCTCTGGTAAATCTTCTTTCAAGGATTTTTTGAGCTTTAATTGATGTTCATTTATGGGTTTACCTACATTAAAAGTTACTTGTAACGGATTTTTTTTTTCGAAAAATCTATTTAGGAGAGGAAAACATTTGTAACTTTATTATTCATTATTCAATCCAGAAGCCAATCTTTTTTATTATTGTTACAGAAGATACTTTGTCTCTAACTGTAAACATGGTTGTGGTTTTTCATAGTAAGGACTTGTTGATTAAGTGGAGTTTATGGAATATATCAGTCAAATAAGTGAATTTTATTGTCGTCATACAACAGATGGAGATGACTAACGGAAGTAAAACTTGATTGTCCAACTTATGTATCGAAGGAGTGATTGATTTTGACTTCGCATACCTTCAAATTCCTTTTTTCAAAAGCTTGACTAAAATACATCTGTTGCTAATGTCATTTTCGGATAATTACACTTAAAAATAGCTTTAAATAACTCAATGAATAAATGATTTAGACTCCTTTGCGCGAACTGACAGGGTTTACATAATAATGATAATAAATAAACAAACAAAATAAAGTGGAAAACAGGAATGAACCAATGAACAATTGCATCCAATTTATTAACATACATAAGACCAAATGTCCTATTCTCTCATTTAACATCTATAGTTGGGACGTTCAAAATTGGCATAGTCCGCAATAAAACTGTCGCATTTTCTTTTTTCTTTCAACTTGGATACTAACTAGACTAGAGCGGTTACTGACAGAACGCCTACTTTTACTCACAACAGACGTTATAGGGATTATTGTAAATGTAGAAAAGAGATGTCAGGTAGGAATTGCACAGGGCATTAATAAATAAAAAGGAATAACATTACACCAACTGATGTCGAACAGAAAGAGATGCTGAAAATCAGAATTTGAGCATGTTACCAGCATCGGACTTTAAAAGAAGTTCAACATTCTCAGGAATTGAGGAAACCAAAAACGCTTCTTTAAAGATATAAGTCCATCCAGGAAGTTATAAAGTCGATCCTGATCTTTTGCGTACCCGAACAACCTCTAACATGCGCCGCTTTCTATAGTATTCAGTTATTTCTTCCGCTTTGTACTACTCTTGAGGCATTTCCTAACTTAACAAGGGCGCGTTCAAAACGCAAAATATAACTACAGATCCACTTGGAAACAAGAGAGAAGATACGTCCATTTTTACAGATAATTTATTGCGGATTTTGCCGATTTTGATCACTTCAACTATAGGTACCTATATTTCTTTCACAAAAATAGCGGTCCCCAATCTGAACTGTTATGATTTGGCCTTTTACAATATTAGTGATTTAGTCATGAAAAATATTCCATTATAATTTGTATATTTTTATAAGGGCAAAAAGGCCCTAACTCTCGGAGTCCTTGTGTCTCTTCAACGGAACCCCATGGCTTCGTGGAACACTGTTTAATAACCACTGTACTAGATTATCGTATAAAATGAACTAACTTTCGCGTATAAATAAAAACAAGTGTCCATTGACCTTAAAAAATCCGCCAAGAATTAAGTTTCAATGGTTAATTATTTAAACGACTTAATGGTTGGTTTGGGACATTCGTAATGGTGAATAAAGACATTAACCATTAATCATAGTGGTACCTGGCACAGCTAATGTCGGGTACACGATTATCCGATATATCCGGTAAAATCACTGTTGGTGCGTTTTTTGTAGGCATATACATATATAATTTCCATTCGAATGTAGATGTTTATTACATACTACATATAACATTCATTAACATGAACAAATCGATAATGTAATCAACTGTTACCTTATCTAATCCATCTTCTTTCTGGATTTATATTTGGCAACTATTCGATACATCTGTTTAAAAACAGTTTTAAATGATTGATTAATACATAAGCTTTTCCAATTTCCTGCGAGCTCACTAACCATATAATCTCTTTCTCATTTGAAGAGATCCAAACGAAATGCACATAAAATTGAAAATATGATCATTGAATAAAACACTAACTGACGCAACGTAGGAACTGGCAAGAATTTCAAACTTAATAATAGTCGACAATTCAAACAGAAAAAATTTCAACTACGCCATTAATTATTATTGCCCCTTTTTTAACTGCGTTCGTGAATTGTTTCACAGACAGTTCGGTTTGTTTGATGATAAATTATTGCATTCTCCACATGCAATATGTACGTATATGGGGGATTTCGATATTTATTAAGCAGAATTTTGGAAACATAAATTTGCCAATCGTTTATCAACAGATAGGAATATGTTCCATTGGTAATAATTTAGAACATTAATTTTGTTCTTTAAATAAATATGCATTTAAAATGTTTATTTATTTAAAATTAATATTCTCGTTTTGACAAGAGTGTGGCTAAATGATAAATATTTTACTCAAATTACAATAACTACAAATATAAAATTCAACTGACTTTGAATAAGACAAATTGATACATACAATACGGAAAACATTTGCAGCCATACAGGGTGTTCCATTCCTTCTGGATGCTACCTAATTTCATTATTTTTAAATGGAACAACCTATTTATTTTTACATTTTTGGTTTCTTTCTTTTGTTTTCAGCTGTTTGAATGAGACCAAATTGCATTTAAACCATAAAAGCTAAAAACCTGCGGTTTGGAGAGTTCGTTCTAGGGTGAATTACGGTATCCTTATTTCTATGGGCAAAATGTGTACGTTATTCAGAGCTGGAAATATCAAAACCTACTTTTGACAATCATACAAGACGAATAACATTTTTTTTTTCAAATCAAATGACCCATATTAATAGACACAGTTCGATATGAAATTAAAAGCCGTTTCTACTGATAAAGTTTTTAATATAAAATAATCGATTTTTCTAGAATACGGTTAGAAATATGAAATGATTTGGTGAAATTAGAAATGTCCAGAATTTACCCAATCTTTGAAGAAGTAGTCAATAACAATGTTGTTCTAACTTTAAAATTAAAAATTAAAGAAATTCGAAAAAGGTTTGAAATTTTCGGAAACAATTCGAATGCTCCAGAAATGTTTGTATAATGAATACTGAACAGATTTGGGTTGTAATTAGGGTTTATACAAAAACCGACATTTTAGAAAACCGGTTTTCGGATAGTAATTTTTCCAGAAAGCCGGTTTTAACCGGTTTCGAATTTTTATAAAAAAAATTTTTTGCTCAAATATTCTGTAATTCGAACAAAAAATTTTAACAGAAAATTTAGAGTGATTAAAAGCAGTTTTTGCCTGAAATTATTTACTGTTTAATTTTATTGATAGTACATTTTTTTAAAGGAGTGATTGATTTTGACTTCGCATACCTTCAAATTCCTTTTTTCAAAAGCTTGACTAAAATACATCTGTTGCTAATGTCATTTTCGGATAATTACACTTAAAAATAGCTTTAAATAACTCAATGAATAAATGATTTAGACTCCTTTGCGCGAACTGACAGGGTTTACATAATAATGATAATAAATAAACAAACAAAATAAAGTGGAAAACAGGAATGAACCAATGAACAATTGCATCCAATTTATTAACATACATAAGACCAAATGTCCTATTCTCTCATTTAACATCTATAGTTGGGACGTTCAAAATTGGCATAGTCCGCAATAAAACTGTCGCATTTTCTTTTTTCTTTCAACTTGGATACTAACTAGACTAGAGCGGTTACTGACAGAACGCCTACTTTTACTCACAACAGACGTTATAGGGATTATTGTAAATGTAGAAAAGAGATGTCAGGTAGGAATTGCACAGGGCATTAATAAATAAAAAGGAATAACATTACACCAACTGATGTCGAACAGAAAGAGATGCTGAAAATCAGAATTTGAGCATGTTACCAGCATCGGACTTTAAAAGAAGTTCAACATTCTCAGGAATTGAGGAAACCAAAAACGCTTCTTTAAAGATATAAGTCCATCCAGGAAGTTATAAAGTCGATCCTGATCTTTTGCGTACCCGAACAACCTCTAACATGCGCCGCTTTCTATAGTATTCAGTTATTTCTTCCGCTTTGTACTACTCTTGAGGCATTTCCTAACTTAACAAGGGCGCGTTCAAAACGCAAAATATAACTACAGATCCACTTGGAAACAAGAGAGAAGATACGTCCATTTTTACAGATAATTTATTGCGGATTTTGCCGATTTTGATCACTTCAACTATAGGTACCTATATTTCTTTCACAAAAATAGCGGTCCCCAATCTGAACTGTTATGATTTGGCCTTTTACAATATTAGTGATTTAGTCATGAAAAATATTCCATTATAATTTGTATATTTTTATAAGGGCAAAAAGGCCCTAACTCTCGGAGTCCTTGTGTCTCTTCAACGGAACCCCATGGCTTCGTGGAACACTGTTTAATAACCACTGTACTAGATTATCGTATAAAATGAACTAACTTTCGCGTATAAATAAAAACAAGTGTCCATTGACCTTAAAAAATCCGCCAAGAATTAAGTTTCAATGGTTAATTATTTAAACGACTTAATGGTTGGTTTGGGACATTCGTAATGGTGAATAAAGACATTAACCNAATACATTAATTAGTTATGAAGACTGAAACAAAGCTTATATACTACCCAAGAAATAGTCTAGTTTGCACATTATTGGGAATTAGTTGTCGGTGTGAGAAACGCGCTGATTACTATCTATTCACATCGATAACTGCTATTTATGTTTATGATGGTATTTCCAAATTGAACGTGCTCTAACAATAGAGAAATGTTTCTAAACAATCTTATAAATTAAATATACCTAATAAATGTAATAACTGTATTAAACATAATTTGTGTTTACTTTTAGACTACGACTATTTTAACAATATGGACAAGACAAGTAGCGTGACATAAGTTTTTCCTAACGCACACAGGAATAGCGAGACAGTAGTGTCATAATGTCATTCGATGAAGATGTATTAGATTCAGTAAATTTGCTTAATATGAATGGAAACCGTCCAAAAGGAAGACATTTTATACATCCCTACTGAAAAACCAAACAAACACACGGTGCATATTTCTATTTGAATATTCGTTACATATGAGGGATTTGCTTCAATCATTGAAACAAACGAATATAGAAAGTTGGATCATCTTTCATTTTTGGCTAATCAACAACAAAGTGAAGTAACACTTAAGTGACGTACAAAAAAAAAGAGAAGGTGCCTACTTATTAAAACAAAAAGTAGGAGAACATAGAACGCTAAGGAAAAGGAGAGACAGGATGGAAGAACAGCATCTAAGACAGAAAAGGATAGGTTGGAGACATTAGAAGCAGAAACTAGAATAAAGGGGGACAAAGGAAGACGTACATTATTGTTCGACAAATAGTTAAGGAAGAAAGATGTTCTAATTTTCGAGAAATGCAAGATTGACGCAGGTTAGCAAGGAGTGGAGACGAGTATCCAACCAAACTTTAGACTGACGACTTTGTAATGACGATCCAACTTACATTGTTTACTTTTGACTATTGCCTATCATTTTTGAACATTTGTAACCCTAGGTAGGTACAATATTTTGATGTTTTAAATGAACAGTTCTTACCTGCTCTCTCCCGAAATCCAGGATTTCCATACGTTGTTGCTTCAGTTGGAACAGTAACTGCCTTCGTTGGATCACCGCCTTCCTTTCTAGAGAAGAACGTATCATACAACGACGCCACAAACAACAGGGCAGTAAGAATGATTAATAGGATCTGGAAAAGAAGGAAAACTTACTGAATTAAAATACTACAAAAAATTTATGTTGTTCTGAATGTCTATTTATATATTAATGGCGTTGTCATAATACGAGGGTGGATTGATAAGTTTCCGGCCTGACCAAGAAAAACAAGGTTTTTAAAAATTTTTTTTTTTTATTTCTCAACATAATCTCCTCCAAGGCTGATACATTTCTCATAGCGGTGTTCCAGTCTATTAATGCCATCTCTATAGACTGATTCGTCAAGCTCCTCAAAATAACCATTTACAGCTTCGATTACT